AGCCTACTAAATTTTTGTAACAAATACCGGGAAAAAAAAAAGTTTGAGGGAAACCGTTGGTTCAACGCCATGTTTTCAGTTGCAGTCTGATGTTTTTATAGTAGTTACATCACTGTAAGTGGGGCAGCAAAAGCACTGAACAAGACCATTTTGTGCATAGAAGGAAAAAAAAAAGGTTATTGGAGAGCAAACTGCTGAGTTGTCTCACAATGTAGAGGACAGCAGCCCAGCCAGGAGAACAAGAAGGCTTTACAGGGTTCCTGGAGGCTCCCTTCCTCTCAGGAGATTTTTTTTTTCTTTGCTCTGCCTTGAATAGAACAGGATCCCAATCCTACTGAGAGGGCTCTGTGCTTGATGCAGTGAAGCCAATTTATGAGTATCAGCTGTCCTTTGCCAATGGTGGATGGCTGTTTAGGGGGGAACTTGAAGACTGCAGTTATTTGAAAAGCAATATCCCTGAGTCACGGGGTTTCTGAGAAATTCTGGGGATTGGGTTTCTATTTACTCATGGCCATCTGCGCCAGCTAAGCTCAGGGAGCCATTTTAGGGTATGGGCAGCTGCACCACCATCTTAGGGGCCTGCATTGTGATCTAACAGTCACAAGGTATAAAATTTTCCATACAGATTTAGTAGTGTTGTTTATATTAAATGGGTACATTGAACTTTTCAGTGTTCTTAGTGAAACTGAATTATGTCCCTGTCTTCATTTGATGATAACATTGACTAACAAAAGAGGATAAAAGAAGGCCTAGAGAAATAGCCTAGTGGTTACGAGCTCTGGCTGCTCCTCCAGAGGGCCCAGGTCCTATTCTCTGCGCCCACGTGGTGGCTCACAATGACCCGTAACTCCAGTTCCAGGGGATCCGATGCCCTCTTCTGGACCCCTCAGGGACCACGCGTGCAATGCTGGCAAAACACTTACACACATAAAATAACAGATGTTTAACGATAAATTCCGACAGCAGTGAGTCCTCTGGCACGTGTCACCCTCAGAGCTTCTTTGGGCGAAGAATGTTATCCCCAGGGCAATCCTTTCACCTCTCTGATAGGACGCCGAAACTTCATAGCAATAGCCGTGTGTTTTTCGCTGGAATGCCACGTGAAATACAGCATGGCAGGGAGGGCTACTTTTGCTTTTCAGTTAACGTATTTTAAATTATAGCTGCTGTAGTTACTAACACAATGATGCTGTGAGCAAGTAAATAATTACTGTTAGTTAGTTGGGAACAATAGCTATGTGCAAGGCTCCTTGCCTGCTTCAAACTGGGCTGCCTTTCCAGATTCCAGGGACAAAATCCTTCCTAACAGTACCCTCGGCACGCGGCAAACGTATGCCCAAGTTAGTGATCCCTTCCCAGAGCTGCCAATAGGTGCGATTCTGAAGAATTACCTTCTCTGACCAAAATGATACACACTGCCTTATCCCAGACATATAGATTCTGGGATAAATTTCCTTTACATGCCTGAGTGGAAGTAATTACAGTGAGTAACTTCACAGCCTTGGATTTTCTTATGGAGAACTGGAGGGAGGGCTTGGGCCTGTCATTTTGAAACCAGTCAGTCTCTCAACTGAAGCTATCCTTATCTTTCTCGAAGTCCTTTATTTTAGGCTCTCAGCACACTTGAAAGTCTTTCTGAATGTTCAAAGCAGCCCAGAGTTAAGTTCAAGGGGGTGCGGATGTGAGCTTAGCTAATATTGGGGTACCAGCAGCTGGGGGAGCTGGCCTAGTGTCTTCCGGAGACTGATGTCTCTTTCTTCCTTCCCTTACATTTTCTCCATGCTCCCCAAAACACACACACGCACACACGTGTACACACACAGGCACACACACTAGCCGTATGGACATTTGTGCATGACAGAGTCCAGAGCCTGAGTGGGGTCAGAAAGAGTGAAGACCTAGCAAGCGGATGTCAGGCTGATGAGGACAGAAAGTAGAAACTCCAGCTACGGTATGAGCAGGCTTCATCCTATCCGTTGAGAACACGAAGAGGAAGACAGATGTTTCTGGGAGAACAAAAAATTCCCAAGACATGATTCCTGCCTGGGTTTCCAGCCTGTCACCACGTGCACTTCTAAACCAAGAGTGCAGCATCAGATGGAAACTGTCAGCTGCCGTCTTGACCCCGAGACCCACCCTGCACTTGCCTCCCATAGTCACATGAGGCACCTCCTTAAAGTCCCACCTCACCCCCAAACCTACTGGTTTTGCATGTACCTCTGGAGAACCTTGACTAACATGGCATGTTCAGTAAAAAACTCATTTTGTGGCGTCTAGTTGTATAAATGTTAGCAAATACAGAGATTTGTGTAGTGGGTGTCACAATCGGGCTACAGTACATTTATCTCTAGAACAGCTGCACTTTTGGTTTTTGTGGAGTTTTGTTTTGTCTCTGTTTTCCATTATATTAACATTCTGTCCGCAGCTCCTGAGCCCCACTGGCCATGTGCACACACTCTCTGCTCTTACCACCTGGCTTTTCCCTGAATGCTGCACACAAGATGAAAACTTATTTGGCTGTAGCTACAAAACTATGTTAATGCACACAGAATATGCTGGTTTTGGTTGAGGGGTGACCAGGCACACAGAATGTGCTGGTTTTGGTTGGAGGGGTCATGGTGTGTTGATGCTTTTGTTATTGTTGTATTAGATGGGAGGGGACTTGTGATGGAGCCCAGGGTGGCCTCCAACCATTGAGCTTCCTGCTTCCACCTCCTGAGTGCTGGGACAACAGGCCTGCATCTCCACACCCCACTCTCCATTTCCATTTAGAGTCATCTCGCTTCCACATAAAAGGGAGGAATGGCCAAAGCAACAAAAGCAGATTGCCCTCTTAAACCAAGACCAAAGTCAACTGGAGAGGAAAATGACCTCTGATTAACATTTGGTCCTAAGGAGAGGATACCTTCACTCCACCTTGTGACCATAACCAGAAGCCCCGGGGTTTGACATCATCCACATCCACCAAGGAAGTGAAACAAAAGAATGATTAGTGGGAAGTTTGAGACAGAGGCCACCTCTTAGAGCAGGGTGGCCTGATAAGCTCTGTTCTGTTATGCTCTGTGAAGTTATTATAAATTGCTGGGCATGGTGACACAGACCTTTAATTCCAGCACTTCGGAGGCAGAAGCAGGGAGATCTCTATGAGTTCAAGGCCAGCCTAGTCTACATAGCAAGTTCCCAGGAGAGCCAGGGCTCTGTGGAGAAACCTTGTCAAAAAAAAATAACTTTTATAAAATATGTGTTTAATGCTGCTGTTTTCAAAGAGGAAAAACATTGGTTGCATTCTTTCATCTGTAGAGCTTGTTGTATAATAAAGTTGGTGTTTTTTGTTTCAGGAAATTGTATCAAAAACTAGCTACAAATAAACTTTGGAGACAGAAAAGCAAATGTGTATTATTGGGCCACACGTAGCACACACTGTCAGTTTTCTAAGATATGATCGTCATTTCGTACGTTGGAGACTTTCATTATTAGGATTTGCATGGTGTATATAAGTTAAGCATGGAGGATATACCTTTTGCAGTTTGGTTTTAAGTGTTTCAACAACTATTGATCTAGATACCCCAAACTGTTATTAATTGTTCAATCCAGTATAGGTATATGAGTGTATATGAGTATCACTGCTCTGGTTTTTAATATTTTCTGTATATTTGATAGTTAGTAATAAAACGTTGGAGGTAAGGAATAGCCAGCATACTCCAACATTCATATATTTGCTCACCAAGTCCCCAGACTTCAGCTCTGAGACACAACATACCAATGAACCTGCAGCCATGACTCACCGCCTAATAGGGATCCAGATGGAGGGATCCTCCCTCTCTTCACTTGACCTCAAATCAGCCCCTTTTATAGTCCAGGAAGTAGACACACCCTATACTCAAATACAAACCTTACTCAAGACTCCCAGTAGCAAATTGTAGAAAACTAACTCAACCAGCTTAGGCAAAAAGGTAAATCTTAGGTGTGGTGACCTGTCTACCAGTAAGGCACCAAAGAGCTGATCTTGGGGGAAAATGCTGGTGAAGAATAGGATTCCCTCAAAAGCGCTCTCATCTCTCATTTCTTTTTTTTTTTTTTTCTTTTTTTTTTTTTTTTTAACACACTATGTATTTATCCTCTCCAGTTCCTGGGCTTGTGAGGATTATTTTTCCCCCTGTAGAGGTAGTTCAAAGAAAAGACTCAAGACGTTGCCCTGCTCCACACACACAGCACCATTCCACCTACAGGCTTCCTTCCCAGAAGACCCCCAGGCTAGGAGTCCAAACTGGATTCATAGTTCTTAAGGGAGGCGACTTGGAGTCAAAGATGTGAGAGCTGGAGGGGCTGAGCAGAGTTTTGGGGTCGGGGTGCATTTCAGGAAATGCAACCTAATTTCTATGAATGAGATACAACTTTGACATATGTTTTATAAATAAGGAAAAAGTGAGTTTTAGAAAGGAAAAGCCTTCAGCCACATAACTAGTAACAAAGCCAAAGTCAGCTTTCACCTGTGGCACGTGAGGATGGCATGGTTTGGAGCATGTAGTGATGGAATCTGGGTGTGACAGAGCCTTCCTTGGAGTGATGAGAAAACTGGGGACCAGTCCCAACATGACAGGAAGAAGTGAAGGACTCTGTCTGAAGGGGGACAGTCAGAAACGGGGCTCAGTGGTGAACATCAGATTTGAGGAAATCTGGTCCTGCCACTGCCAGGCTGTGTGTCCTTGAATCCCCCTCTGTGCTTCCTTTCCTCCTTCTCCCAGAGGAAAGTGCAGTCTTGACGGTAACTTGGCCTCAGCAGACACCTCTACCTCTTGTGCAAACAAAGGATCTCACAGTTAGGAGATCTTGGAGAGGCTCCAAGTCCCTCACTGGAGATGGTGGACATTTCTGACGGGGCTTGAAAAGCACAGGCCTCCCTGTCATCAGCAAACCTTGAGCCCTGCCCATTGCCACTCCCAGCAGAAACAATAGAAATCCAGCCTCAGCCTCAGCCTCAGCCTCAGCCTCTCGGCAGCATGCGGTCAGACGGTCTCTTGGTCCTCGTTGCGGTCCTCATTTCCACTGCTCTGGTGGCTGGAGATGGAGTCAAAGGGGGTATGTGGATATGGTGAGATGGGTAGAGATGGGGTGGGAGCCCCCAGATTACAGAGAGGGCTGGAGCCCTCCTCTTACCTTGTGCCTTCCTCCACCAAATGAAGAGAAAGCAGGAGTTTGCCCGGCGGACAACTGGCGCTGCATCAGGAGTGAGGGTCCCCTGTGTTACAGAGACAGGAACTGTGAGGGTGAGCAGAAGTGCTGTTTTCTGCACTGTCGCTACAGATGTGTGCAACCTGTGAAGACGCTGGAGGACAGTAAGTAGCCCCCACTCCTGTTCATGGCCCTCCCTCCCACTCTCCCTGTCCCTGTCTAGCTCCTGAAAGCATGGGGGAGCAGTTTTTGGAGAAGGGCAGAGTGAAATGGTTATGAGCTTATGGGATCCCAGAGATCAGTGGCCTTGAACTTCTCTTTTGGACAATGGAGGAAAACAGGGATGTGCTCAGAGCAGAGTGGGGAGAAATGCCTCCGAGCTCTCCCTCCTCCCAGGACTGTCCTCCATAAGTCATGCTCCCTCCTTTCCTCCTCTGGAAGTCGCTGTCACCTACCCCTGCCCCCAAGGGTCCACAGACTTAAAGTATGGGAGAAACAGGCACCCTATGGAAAGCTTGGCCCAGAGTCCTTGTGTGCAAAAGAGGGGGCGACGTGAGCCTCCCTCTTCTGCAGAGTCCCCTCCGTTTCCATAGATGAAGCCCTCATGAGTGAGGTGTGATGCCTCATAGACAAGGCCTCAGGGGACTGCCTCACCCTTCCACCACGTAAGGACACAGCAAGAAGGGACAAAGACCGAAAACCAGGCCTTTCCAGATCCTGAATCTCCCGGCACCTTGATCTTGGACCCCTAGCCTCCAGAACTCTGAGAAATAAATGTTGTTTATAAGCCACTCAGTCTATGGTAATTTGTTACAGCAGCCCAGAAAGACTAACACAATTTAATAGTTTAAAAATTCCTGTTCAACATTATATATATGACACATATTAAAAAATACACACACACACACACACAAATAAACACTTCTGGAAATACACACAAAAGTTTTTGAAAAAAAATGTACAAAACTTTATTAAATGACATTTTAAAAGATATGATTAAACAGAATAAAATTGTCTATAATATGATTTTTGTGAAAAATATATGCTCTTACAGCTGGTCAAAAGGCAGAGAATAAAGTGACTATGGAGTCGTAAATTGTTTATCCCTAAATGAGACATCTGTACCACACAACACTCACTGTCACCAAGGCTCAGGGAACATCAAGGAAAAGCCAGAGATCCTGGAAGATTGGAGCAACTAATGTCTTCTGTGCATGACAGGGCCGCTGCCCTCAGGAACTCACAGTAGCCAGAGAGAGAGCTGCAGGAACCAGGCCAGTGGATGCTCTGGCAAGGACAAGGAAGGGATGCATGAGGCCCACCCTTGGCTGAGGAGCCGTGTCAGTTGATGGCCACTAGAGGGAGCACAGTCATCTCTCCTCAGTGGTATGGCCCACGGTGGGTTGCGAGGGCTCCAGGGAATGGTAGCCCTCACCCAGGGCATGCAGGCACACTCGTAGGATTCAGTGAGTTATCTTAAAAAGAGAGAGGGGAAAAAAGGCATGAATTGGGAGAGGAATGTGGAGAGGGCTCTGGGGAAGGTGAAGGGAGGAATGGGAAAGAGATGATCTAAATACATTCTGTTAGTACATTCTCTGGGATGAAAGTATCAGAGACTACATAAAAAGTATATACACATGTATATATAATTATATGTATGCATATATACATATGTAATGTATTATACGTGTTGTGACGTTATATGTGTGTATGTATTCACTATATATATATATACACACATATATAATTTTTATATATTGCATGTAGAATACAATGTACACATATGCCTGCTCTTTCCTGAATACCAAGCGTCCACAAGACAAAGATGTCCATCCTGGTTAACATAATTTACATATAACTACAATCTAACCCCTTGGGAATTTGTAACCCGTAATTAACTTGTTGCCACAGGCCCTGTCATCCGCAGCTTCCTGATGTTTACAGGATGCCATTTCGTCATTCCCTTCTCTCCTTGCCCTTGTGTGAGGAAGCATGGCTTTACAATGAGAAGATTGAGGTGCACCAGCTGAAATGCATCCGTCTGTCTGAGCAACGTTAAAATAGGTGAGCCAGGCGTGGACTCCGCCTCAGGTGACCAAACAGGCAGCAGGCGTCATCCACCACCCAGGAAGGTTATTGCCAAGACGATTTTCCCCTGGTTGGGTTTCTGGAGCTAATGTCGTGTAGGGAAATGTGAAGGGCAGAGCTGAAAGATACCACAGAGCAAGGATATGGGCTCCTCTGAGTAGACATCCATCTGTTTGCTCAGTCAGAAATAGGAAAAGGGATGACTGGGAGGAGGGCAGAAGCGAGCTAGAATGTTGGTTCCAGAACGGAGGGAACTTCGGATGTCGCAGCCACGCAGTGAATGCCCGGAGTGTGGATTTGGTTCCAACAACTGCACAGACTCATTTCTTTAAAGAGTTATCTTTAATTATGTGCGGGTCTACGTGTCTGTGTCAGGGTATGCTCGTGTGAGGTGCCCATGAAGAGCAGAGGAGGGTATCAGATCTTCCGGACCTGGAGTTAAAAGAGGCTGTGAGCCACCTGAATGCTGGTAATCAAACTTTTGGGTCCTCTGCAAGAGTAGTATGAGATCTTAACGGCTAGGCCATCTCTCCAGCCCCACCAAGTCATTTTTATGACAATAAGGAAAAGAAGAAAGTAAACAGAGAAGCAGATGATTAGGTGTGACAATGACATATTCAGTTGTGTGAGAAAATGTCATTATTTCCTTTCTTTCAAAGTTGACCTAAGGTTTTTCTGCACAGCCCAGGCTAACCTGGACCCAGTCTTGTTAGCAGCACACCCTGGGTGACAGGACTATCTGAGCACATCACCACGCTCAGCCTAAATGTCCGTAGTTCTTAGAGATCCATACTGAAATATCTAAAGGCAGAATTATGAAGTTTACTTAAAAATTCTTCAAAATTAAAAAAAATGGTGACTATGCACAAAAGGAAATGTTGGAAAGTGTTACTGTTGAGTTTGGAATGGGCGGAGCTTCATAAAAGGGGTTACTGTTCTTTTGTATGTTTTTGAAATGGGGGTAAAAATAGTTACAGCAAACACTGGGTTATTTTTTTCCATATTAAAATAATCATTGAGTTCGTATGGAGCAATGCATGAACATGTAAATTAATAAAATGACTATCCTAACTAAGTCACTTAAACATCATGAAGTTGTAACTATTACAACGGCAGTACTGGCTCAAAAATAAACACAGGAGAGGGGGTGGGGCACATGCTTTAAGCCCAGCACTTGGAGCAGAGACAGGCAGATCTTTGAGTTTGAGAGACAGAGCCTTTTCCAGGACAGCAATAGCTACCTTGTCTTGGAAAAAAAGAAAGAAAGGAAGAAAGAAAGAAAGAAGGAAGGAAGGAAGGAAGGAAGGAAGGAAGGAAGGAAGGAAGGAA